CTTCTCTGTCTTGGTTAAAAGGCGATTAGGTAATAAAGTAACATTCATGATGAATACATGACCTTTTTAAATGTTTCTAAATATATACATGTTGTAGGAATCCTTACCTGTAAACTGAAGCAGCAGAATGAGAAGTNCTGTCTTTCTGTGTCTTTGTATTCTCTTGTTCCGATTAACCCAGCCACATTTGCTCTTGTTTTGTGTCTATATCTACGCCGGGATCCGGAGTCGAGGCTGATCTTCTTGCTGTGGTCCTGTGCCCTGGATGTGGACTTCGGGTCGTGGCTGAACCTGTCTCTGCGGTCCTGCCTGGGTCACGTCATGCTGCCTCCCTGAAGGCTCCCACAGGATTGTAGTTGACATCTTCGTAGATTCGTCTTCCTAACATTTGGACTACCTACGCTGTAAAATGTATTATCTCTTAAATGTACACACGGCATCTATTGCACGTCTGTCCGTCCTGGGAGAGGGATCCCTCCTCTGTTGCTCTCCCTGAGGTTTCTCCCATGTTCCCCTTTAAACTGTGGGGTTTTCTCTGGAAGTGTTTCCTTGTACGATGTGAGGGTCTAAGGACAGAGGGTCTAAGGACAGAGGGTGTCGTTTTTTCTCATACTGATATTCTGAACAATCTGTGTTGTTGTATTTGCTGTAAAGTGTCTCTACTGTAGGCTATTTTTATTATATGTACAGCACTTTGGCTCGACCAAAAATCATTTATAAATGTGCTATTGTGGTGACTCTAGTTAACCATAATTCACTTTTGGGTCACAGTTCCTACACCGACCTTGTTTAGTGTAACACCNTTTATAAATGTGCTATATAAATAAAACTTGATTTGATTTGATAGTCATGTATGAAGTTATGAAAACCTACCTCAAGGTTTTGGAAGGCACTGTCCTGCTTGTTTCCAAACACTCCTCCAAACAGCGTGAAGTCTTCTTTGCTTAACTGAACACAAATAAGGACAATGAAATATCAAATATCAACTACATAAGCAGATAAGTGATACGATATTTGGGTTTGAGAAGTTTCAGCAATTCTAATTCAGTCAATTGTTTATCTGATTCAATGAATATCTCCTCACAGTCTACTGGCTGTTCGTTCTGTGTGTGCTCTGAAATATAATCTAGTGTTCATAAACAGCCCTGGTTTACTAAGTGGGGAACAAATAACACTGATCCAACATATAAGCAACAGGGCTTTCATGCTTTGGCAAAGAGAAGGCTGTGAATAGAGAAAGGCATTGGGAGCAATAAACACTTTAAATACGTAGGGGGGGGGGGGGGGGGGGTTGTTTCCATTGTTCCAATATAAACAATCTGTCTTCATAATCGTTGACTCTACCTTTAATACAACAAAAACGGTTAAAAATCCCAATTATCACAACAATGATGATCCACCACAGAGAACAGACCCGGACAATGTGTTAGAGAGGAACTGAGAATGGGGAAGTAACGCTAACGCTCATTGTCACACCAGAGTGAGAAGACAGTTACACAGAGTCACATGGGACTGCAGTGCAACTACACACTGACTCATTAACACCTTGTTTTACACATTACATATCCATGAACTCTCTTTGTATTCAATGAATATGGAAATCTAGGAACATCTAAGAGTAGTCCTACTCCTCAACACCTTTCACCCTTAGCCCAATATGTCTAGTGGCATATGTTATAATGTTTGTGTTAAAGAAGGAGTATAGATTTATGGTTTCAGGGACTGACCTTGTCCTGCAGGAATAGCAGCACAGTGTTGGGGCCGGAGCCAAAGGCAGAGGTGAGGTAGGCAGTCAGCTGGTCGTTGGATGTGATGTGACCAGCGGCCGGTGAGGCCAGGGGTGGCAGGCTGATCATGTAGGAAAGATTAAAAAAAACAATGAATAAACCTAATACAAGTTTTATAAACATTGAGTACATTCAGCATTTCAAATAATCTAATGTGGCATGCAAAAGGCCATCTGTCACCTATAACATGTTTTTTATTTGTGATGTTTGGGTATAATCATCAAACTTTCAGACAGTAACAATAAAGTGTAACAGTGAAGTCAAATGATTTGTTCACAGACAACTGAAATCATATACATGGAAACTCTAGATCCAAGCAAAAGTTACTTTAAATAATTGATTCGTACTGTTATGAAAAACTAAACTCAATTCTTTTGATGAAACTAAAAGTTTACCAACAGTGTATTTACATTATGTGTTGGCAAAATATAAGATATGATACAACTGTATTTATCTTGAGGAACAGCTGTGCGGCAGTAGTATGTGTTAAGAGTGCAAATGTGAACAGTGCAAATATATATGAAAAATAACATGAGCTGTTAAACATGCCAGTGTGGCACAGATCATTAGAAAGGAAGTCAATTTAGATCATAATGCATCACTTAAATGTTGTATACAGGCAACACATATGTTTTACATTGAAACTAGCCTTAAGTTAGGATATGTAACAATGTTTCCAAACTCGGGTTTCTTTTTCGAAGTTTTGTACCATATGAAATGAAAATAATGCGTCACACCAAACGGTGCATACTTTGTTATTAAAGTTTAACCTAAGCATTTCGCTAGTTAAGGTCGAGTTAGCTAGTAGAATCTGGAAGTAGAAACAGTTAGCAACAAGTGTTAGCATTAGCATGACACACAGCTGGCCGGTTACGCTGTCAAAAGTAATGATTCAATAACAAAATAAATGAAATATTACCCTTCACTGGACCACATTAGAAGTGGCACTTGAGCAGCGGAGCTCTGTGATGAAAACAGGGCGAATAAAAGCACAAACATCGCCATTATTCGCACTTTACTCGAACTCCCCGAGACTGACATTTTTCCGTTTTCCGCAAAGTTCTGCTCACGTGACGCAAACCAGCTGACAGTCATGTGCTGAAAGAAAAGGACTTCCGGTTTCTTTCTTTCCTTCTGCTCTGCCCACAAGTGCAAATACTCAGCTGTCTTTATGCAGCTCTGTCCACATTGTTCTGGTCACATTAAAAACTCAGGAATAGTTTAATTTCTCTCAGCCAGGACACCAGAAGATATCCTTAGCTGTCAGGGACTTCCGGTCTGTGCCGCTGCTGTAATGCTAACGTTAACGAGCAAGTGGACAGATGCACTTTATGGGTTGAAAAATAAAATGTGAATAGGCCTACATAATAATACACTTTTACTTGTAACACTTTAATGCATATTATACTTATAATACCTACGTACATGTTGCCGATAATAAATACTTTTATTTTATTATATTTATGAAAGGTTTGACTAAAACACGTTTACTAGAATTGTTCACATTGTGATGATCATTTAAATTAAAGATCTGAATACTTCTTCAACTACTGGCTAATGTTTAGGAAAGTATTTGAGGCTTTAACAATAAACTGTCATAATATTTCGGTTGCCATAAACAGGCATTCATAGATACTATGTAGGCCTATATTGCAGCTGAACAATGAATGGCAGGTACACCTGGCAACTGTCCATGGTGCTGACACACTCCTACATTTGGACATTTCCCTGTTCGTATCATCATGTCCCATTATAACCATAAGATGCATTTACAAACACTTTTAAAGAAAAACATAAAAGCAAATAATGAAAGTTTGACACAGTTTTTCTCTATTGAAAAGGGCCTGCGTGAGGTCAGTGAAAGCAACTCCCATCCACACAGCTGTGGTGGCGGAGGGATACCACTGGCTGCATCCGCGTAACGCTGCGCCTACAACTGGAAAGGAAGGATAGAAAAAGAAAATAGAGATAGCACAGACTTGTACAACATGTATTTAAATGGCAAAACATGTTAAACTCCGAGCCAAAGTATGAAATGAAACTAAACATGTGTAAAATCGCTGGATAAAGCCACCTCACAGCGGAGGGTTTCGTATTACACCCAGCCTTTCAGTTTGAGCCCATTGTGTGGCAGGATGGGAAGAGAGGAGGATACGCACTACTTTCCGTCGCGCAATCACATTGTTCTAGAGTGCTCCACGATCAGGGCCATCTTTGGTCGTCCTCGCCGGTGACAGTGTGGACAGTTTATTTCATTGGTCATCAATGCCTAACGATTCATAAATAATACTCAACTTTAAACAAGCCGTTTGACGCACTCTTGCAGAGAAAAGGGAGCTAGATCCCCGGTTTTTGTGGACTGTTCATTCTTTCCTTCAATACCCTTCATTTCTCAAGGCAAAAAGAGGGCGAGACGGGAGAGGCGGTGATACAACATGGATGAGGAATATGATGTGATCGTTTTGGGCACCGGACTCACAGTAAGTAGTCAAACATCATTTGCTTTTACGCTAAATCGTCCCAACTTCCATGATTGCTTTGAGTCATTTATCCTCTTGTCTATCCGAGCGTAGAAGTGAAAGTCTCCTGCATCCCAGGCTTAATGACATTAGAAAATTACAATATGATAAATGTAATTGAATGTTCTTTGACATGCATGTGTAGAAAAAGATGAAACACGGCCTCCAGGAGTTATTTTATTGTTCTCGCAGCAGCAGGATCAGGGCAGTGTTACACCCAGTAGCATCTTTTAGGCGTAACCCCACAGTGTCATGGTCCTCTTTTCATAGACAGGCCTCCATCCTGACGCAGGCCTGAGCACGGGTTTATGAAATGACAGAGCATACCCACGCCTCAATTTCATTTACTCCTCACTCCCAATGCGACAGATACATTTAAAAGTAATATTAATCTGGCTTCCGTGAAAGTCGACATTTTCCTAGTTGTATAACAGGTATCAAATATCCTATTGAATTCTTGGTCTTTTATATTTTATGATGTGATTATATAATGCTGGTGTTCTTTTTAAGAATATACATATTACTTATCAAATGATAATAATTATTATGATGACAGTAAATACGTGGGTGAAACTATAAAACCGCGCATGCGCAGTACGTTAATTATGTCCTCCCTGCAGCCTTCTGTCATAACCTCTTCTATAAACCTATTGCCTTATCACAGACCCCACCCTTATTGCTTTTTGTTTTATTGTTATATATATTTATGTAGCATTGCTAGAGGAGCCTAGGATTTAAGCTTTTTATTGCCTTATCCACACTGTAGCTATTCTGCATGTGACAATAAAGCCTTGAATCTTTATTTTCATTTGAATTCAATGTAATTAATTATAACATTTTGTTCCACACAGGAATGCATTCTGTCCGGGATCATGTCCGTGAACGGGAAAAAGGTCCTGCACATGGACAGGAACCCCTACTATGGAGGCGAGAGCTCCTCCATCACCCCTCTGGAGGAGGTAAAGAAAAAAACACCCCCAGGGATCCATAAAAGCAAATCAATATATTTGATATCCCTCAGTACATCTCAGTTTACTCCCCGTGCCATTGTGCACCAGCTGCTGTTTTTATTGTCTTCATGTGCTCACTGTCATCCTCTTGTGAGGCTTTACATTATGCAGCTTCACAAGATGTTGTTCATGTTTCTCTTTACTGTCGATCCTCCACAGCTGTACAAGCGCTTCAGTCTTCCAGAGAGCCCGCCCGAGTCCATGGGCCGAGGAAGGGACTGGAACGTAGACCTCATCCCCAAATTCCTCATGGCCAACGGTCAGTCCCGCATCACTGGTTTTAGACACAAAGGAATGAATATATCACCATAAAACTCACCCACCATGAACTGCGGAGACAGATGGACAATTAGTACATTTTGACAGGAGTTAATGCAGGTGTATAAACCAAAATCATCATTTCCTGTCGTTTTTAATTGTTACATATATGGTTAACATTTTTATAGCACTTTTCATACACAAAAGGTTACATTAAGTACTGTTCAAACCCAAAAACAATAAAATATATCTAAATTAAATAAACTATACTAACCCACCCACCCTTTTAGGTAATACTCAGAGTAACACATCATTCATTATGAAAAACACTTAATACCAACTGATCACAAAAAACACAAGACTGAATAAAACAAGAAGAAAATAAGAAAATATAATTCAGTGAAAAGAAACATTTGAAAAGATGGGTCCTTGAGTTGGCTCTTAATTGTATCAACAATTCATGATGTCTTTATACAATAGTAATGCTGCCGTCACTATTATCATCATAGTGATATTATTTTCTGTCTTATTCTAAAATTGGGAAATATAAAATTATTTAGGCCGAGGCTTCAAATAGGGTCAGTGGGTTTTCTTTTCTTCGGTTTTTATTAAATTGTGCAAATAAACCAAAACTGAACTATTTATACTTATATCTATCAAATATACATTTAAAGTAAGCCTCCAGACTATCTATATGTGACGTTTCAGTCTCTGTCTTGATGCTTAAAAGGCATTTTGTATTGATGTAAAATGTGTGTGTGTGTGTGTGTGTGTTTGCAGGTCAGCTGGTGAAGATGCTGCTTTACACAGAAGTGACACGGTACCTGGACTTCAAAGTGGTGGAGGGCAGCTTCGTGTACAAAGGAGGAAAGATCTACAAGGTGCCGTCGACCGAGACCGAGGCACTAGCTTCAAGTAAGCCGCCCAAAAATATCTCAAATATCAGGAGTATGATACTTAAATGATCACGTATTCAAAATAAAAGCCTCTGATTGAATTTGCAGATCTGATGGGAATGTTTGAGAAGCGGAGGTTCAGGAAGTTCTTAGTCTTTGTGGCCAACTTTGATGAGAACGATCCCAAAACCTTTGAGGGCGTGGACCCCAAAACCACCGACATGAGGGAAGTCTACAAGAAGTTCGACCTCGGCCAGGATGTGATCGACTTCACCGGCCACGCCCTGGCCCTCTACAGGACGGACGAGTGAGAACAAAAGCCTTATGTCATTATCTCATCACATCAGAAATCCTTTAATGCTACCACAGCCGGAACGTTCACTTCACTGCAGCACAGGGGACAGTGCCGATGAAAGGCAAATCAAATGGGCAGATTAATAATATAAAATCAAATAAAGATTAAATAAGTAGTAGCATTATAAGAGTTGGTTAACATAGACGACGTTGTGAACCAGCAGCCTGTAATAACATTATTAAATTGCAAAAGTACATGTTTTACAGTTTTATTTCACAACAGTTGCTTCATTTCACAGCTGCTTTTGTTATTTTTAACATGAAATAACTAAAGAAAATATGTTGTAATGAGGGTTTTTTTCAAATGTATATGTAGTAAATGACTGCCTGATATCAAATATAAAGAATCTATTTTTAAATTAACCTGCAAACAACGAATACAATGAAAAACCAAGCTCACCTTTGTTGCGTTTAGTGAAGCATAATCTGCTTGGACATCCGTTAATATAACTCAAATACCAAGTTCTGTTTGTCATTAAACTGATAGTAATAATTGTAATAGAAAAAATTAAATAATATATAAATATTTTGAAAATATAATAATAATACAATAAAATATAATTATAATACTGGTACCACTAATACCAATAATAATACAAATAATAGTAATACATAATCAATAGAAATATAATTATATACCTTTACAATACTGTATGTAGAGTAAGATGAGTTTTCTGGCTGTGAATATTATATTAACACAATCATATATTTCTCATTATTCTAGTTTGATCCGTATTAATCCTCTTCTGTTTCTTCCTCAGCTATCTTGATGTTCCCTGTTTGGAGACGATCAACCGCATCAAGCTGTACAGCGAGTCGCTGGCTCGATATGGAAAGAGCCCCTACCTCTACCCCCTGTACGGCCTGGGAGAGCTGCCGCAGGGATTCGCCAGGTAACTTTTATCATTTACTTTTCATCCATAGTTCTTGATTATTACAGCTTTAATGATACATATCCCATCATCCATGATTGAACCGGTTCTAAACACTTTGTAGATTGAGTGCAATCTACGGAGGCACCTACATGCTGAACAAACCAGTGGAGGAGATAGTGATGGAAGACGGCCATGTTGTTGGAGTGAAGTCTGAGGGAGAGGTGCGCTGATTTATTATTCTGCATGTCATTACTTTTCTCTGGGCTCTATGAGGGGATAAACAAGTAAGTAAGTCCTTACAAATGCTACTACTATGTCATTTTACTTAAGTAAGATTTTGAATGCAGGACTTTGACTTCGAACAGAGGATTTGTAACAATTCAGTATTTCTACTTTTACTTAAAGAGGCCCTATTATGCTTTCTGGGGTTTTCCTTTCCCCCTATTTTGTGCATGTCTGCTAAGGCTAACATCCGAAATGTCTCTACAGAGTTTCTCTCCCACACTTTTTGAACATTAAAGCTTGTAAACATGTCACAGTAGGCATAACATGCGAAAAAGGGCCTCTTTAAGTAACACATCAAAGTACTTCTTCCACCACTGTTAATAAAGATTTGTCTTATCGAATCTAACCTTATTTATCTTCTTTCCTGCTGCAGGTGGCTCGTTGTAAGCAGCTGATCTGCGACCCCAGCTACATCCCGGATCGCGTCCGCAAGGCGGGTCAGGTGATCCGTGTGATCTGCGTCCTCAGCCACCCGATCAAAAACACTAACGACGCCAACTCCTGCCAGATCATCATTCCTCAGAACCAGGTTAACCGCAACTCAGGTGAGGATCGTCGTTTAGGTCTTAGGAATTGGAAGCAGGAAGATCAATAACAAAGATGGCCGTTCTGCTGAATGCCATTGATTAGATTGTAAGCCCTGGAGGAAATAAAGGAGCGCTCTTATGAGGAGAAATGAAGCAATGCATTTCATAGTGTACAATATGCACATAGTTCTATTTTATTTAATCTTTAAAAGCACATATAATCAATGTTCTGGTATTAACAACGGATCTCTTGACTACTTGTGAAATGGGTCACTGGTTCTCAAACCCAGCGACTCTTCAGTTCCTCTCAGCTCTACGGAGATTTATTTTATCTATCGGATCACTGTTTGACTTTCTGACCAACAACCTTTCTTGGTATTTTATGCGATAGGCATGAATTAGCTTGTTTCCCTACGCAGCCAGCTCTTTTCAGGAAAACATTTCTTGACAAGCTCCCTGAACAGCACCACGAAAAGTTAGTATAGCTTTTAATGTAGTAGCTAAAGAGCCAGACAGAGTTAAAGGAGTGTATGCATGTTAGAAATATCATCAGGTGCTCAACAACCAGTGGTGGAAAAGGTACTTAGATATTGTACTTCATTTAAAGTATCAATACTAAAGTGAATAAACACTCTGTTACAAGTAATAGTCCTGCATTCGAGGAGTACAATTACAAAAGCATTGGCATTAAAATAAACCTTTAGTACCAACATTTTTGTCAATTCTCCAGACATCTACGTGTGCATGATCTCCTACGCTCACAACGTGGCGGCCCAGGGGAAGTACATCGCCATCATCAGCACCACAGTGGAGACCGAAGAGCCCGAGGCGGAGATCGAGCCGGCGCTGGAGCTGCTGGAGCCCATCGACCAGAAGTCAGCATCTTAACAGCTTCTGATGACAAAGAGTTTTATAAAAATATTTAAGTATGCTTGTGAAAATACTCATTAATGTTTTTGTTTTTTTTAACAGGTTTGTGGCTATTAGTGACCTGTATGAGCCCACAGATGATGGCACTGAGAGCCAGGTAAGACCTTTCTTCCAGAAAACTATAAAAAAGCTTTTGCTGAGAAAATGGAAACGATATGCTCATGGCTAATACGCAGGTGAAACTCAACAACAACTATTGTATGGATTACAAAGGAATATAATACGGACAATCATCGTCCCAGGATGAGGAACCCTACTGACTTAGATTATCCACAGACTTTTGAACTAGTGCCATCAGCAGGTCATATCTGTTTCCCAGATGATGAATCTATCACAAGGTAGACACTTTTAGTTTTGAGTGAAATATGTGTCACTATTAAAGGTGGAGTAGGTCATTTTGGAGAAACCGGCTCGACTGCGCTAGAATTTGAAAATACACAGCCGGAAAAAATCTGCCACTTCCTTACAGAGCCCCTCCTCCAACACACACGCACATGACCAATGAGGGCACGAGATAAGTTTGTGCACAGATGGAAGACTGACAGGCAGGTAGGCCATCCAGTTACTTTAGCCGGGCCGGCTCAGATGATTGGTCGTGCTTTTTACGGCACCACGGCTTCCACAGTTTTATGGATTTTTTTTCAAAGCACTTCAGATATTCATTGCTATCGGGATGTTAAGAGCATTCCATGGAATATAACAAAAAGTGTATCTCGAGCCGGTTTCTCAAACTTACATACCCCACCTTTAAATGGACTGCCATGGATTTTGCTGCAGATATTCAAGGTCCTAACAAGGTACATTTGAAATGAGTTTTCATTCTCACCCGCCTCAGCTATGTGTTAGCATGCTAACAGGCTAAAGAAATTGGGTGACCATGTGAAACAGGCTAGCACTGTCGCTAACATTTATAAGCTATTGAATAGCACTGATGTGACTGTTGTTGGTCACTCCTGTGTGTTTCACAGAAACCCTCCACAATAATCATTACAACAATAATAATAGTAGTTTAATACAGTGATGTCAGGATATATTATGACAGATATTTTATCATACCTTTCCAACCCCACTCACGTCCCTGTTCTAGTTGTTTCCCAGTGCGCCTCACAGTGTCGCTGCCGATTCTCAGTCTGTTGTGTTGTCTCTCCCAGGTCTTCGCCTCGAGCTCCTACGACGCCACCACTCACTTCGAGACCACCTGCAACGACATCAAGGACATCTACAAACGCATGACCGGCAGCGACTTTGACTTTGAGAACATGAAGCGCAAACAGAACGACGTGTTTGGGGAGGATGAGCAGTGAGCGGTAGAGAGGCTTCAGAGAGAGGGCGGGGCCTGGGAGAGGAGGCGGGGCTTAAAAGAGGCAAAAGATGAGGCAGAGGGTCCGTTAGAGGGCCTTGAAAAACCATCAGTGGGGAAGAGGGTGTGTTTCTGGCCTCAGCTGTTTGCCTCCTCTCCCTTACGTCCCTCTCTCTCTTGACACGCTCACACACACACCCGCACATACACACACACACACACGCTGTTCAAATACTCACACTCCTTATCTCTGTCACTGTAAAGCAGGGTTGATATGGTCTTTCATTCCATTGTAGAATTTACAGTATAACCATGTCTTAAATATTATCATTAGAGGTGAATTTATTACTTGTCGTCGGCGATCTTCAGAGCATTTTCATTCTTTCTGTAACGTCTTTCTCCTCGTCTCAGAGGTCGTCGGGTGGTTGGAAGATTGATGGCATTGAGAAGTCTGACATGAGAGACCTGTAACGGCTTATAGTGTAGAATCCAGTTGACATGCATGCATCTTTTACACACAGTAGTATTTTACATAGACGACACTGCGGTATGAAGGCTGGACCATTCCACGCATTGCTCCTGTCAACCCTGCTTTCACTTTTCTCTCACTTGGTCTTTTTCCTGTCAAAATACTCCTTTTGGCAAAAATCTGTTGGTCAGGCAAAACAATGTGGTGAAAAATGACATGGGCTGTCTGTCAGCTGATAGTGCTCACTTTGCAAAGCTGTTGTGTTCCCTGTGCTAGCAAGCAAGCTAACCCGTGGCTATTAACCGTCACCCCGAAAAAAAAAAAAAAAAAAACTGTTCCTTTGTTTATCTCTGTTGTGTAATGTCAATTTGAATAGTTTACTTTCTAACATTTTTAAATTATTGAAGAGTTTTTATTTCTCTATATATTTGGTGCACATTTCACTGGCTGAAGTTATGAAGTTTACAGATCTGTGGTTGAATCCGTGGTCTTAAAGTAAAAAAAAAAAAAAAAAAAAAGGGAATGCCAGGAGCAAAAGAGGCAGGAAGAGGCTTTCTCTGGGAGATCTGGAATGAGTGAGGAAAACAAATTACGGAGATTGTTGAGATGCGAGGAAGTGTGAAGGACAAGAATGTGTGCGGGGAATGATTTGGATTTTGGAGGTTTCACTTTTAAGTGAAGAGGGTGAAGACTGAAATTTCGGCTGATAGTGAAAGCACCAGAGTGTGTTCGGTTGTTTCAACCCTTGTGTGTGTCCTTTAGGTAAGTCACTTCTCCAGGGACTAAACATCCTATGACAAATTGTAGTAGTTAAATAGAGGGAAAGGCTGGAGACTCCCGTAACTTTAAAAGACTTTGTAGCAAAGGTGAGAAGCCACAGTTGCAGGTGCTGCCCCACGAGAACGAACCAAGATCCTTTTATTGGTTGTAGCCTTAATTTTTGGGGTCTTAATAGAATATTTAGACCCTTTTCAAATATGACTGCTTTGTTTTTAACTAACCGTTAGTGGCAGGTCGCTCTAGTGCCAAAAATGGTGTTGCTGTTATTGGCAAAAGTTGCTGACGCAGTTTGTTGTTGTGTGTTGCTCCGCAGATCTGACTGAATACTATAGAAGGGATATTGTTTTCTATCAGCTGTTTCTGTACACCTGAGCGGAGGCAGTTCCTCATATCTCACGTACAGTTAGATTGAGCTGTGGCTTGTTACACAACAAACAGACGAGACGCCCTGATCGTTTTTATTTAAAACACTGAAGCAGTTCCATCTCACTTTATCCAACACTTAGCAACTCTAAACATAGTTATCTCGCTGTTTGGGGTGTTGGCGTGTCTTATTGTTATGCTCTATTTATTTACATTTCACTGACGTATTGTGGAAAAGGTGTACGCCGAATATGCTATGCTAATAGATTTTGTTCTGATGATAAAAACGGAAAAGTGATGCACACCGAAATTCCTTGTTTTTGTTTGTTTGTTATTTGCTGTGTTATGTTTACGTTATTCAGTGATCATTCCAGTGCTGCATCATGATTGCATATGATTATAATAAGAAACAGGTTATGATGGGAGGATAACAGCAGCAGCCATCAGTTATTAGCAATTCAAACCTATACAGCTGTGTGTTTCAACATTGTGTGTGGTCTTCATCCTGGATACTGGAATAATGTTTACTCTTCGATATATCCGAAGCCCTCCCTTCCGTTCCCCTTCCTCAGCATCAGATACTGTCTTTTTTATTTATTGAAAACAAAAGCCTCATGTGTGGTCGTACTGTTTTAATTTCCATCCAGTTTGGCCTTTTTCGGAAACCACTATTGACAATATCCCTTGAAAAATTGACAAAAGATACAAATAGTTAAGGCTGAGTAGTAGAAACACTTACTGTCCTTGTTTGATCACTAGTATGTGAGCAATGCCTAATGTCTTGTGTAACAAATACAAATGAATTAAACTATGAATGAAATTATAGAAAAATAAAAAGCACATGGCAAACCTGGAAAGATACTGTTGTGTGTTTCTTTCTTTGTGTTGTAAGGTTATCTATACATATAATAATATTTTATATACACTCTAAAAAATACAACTTACAGATACAGTTTTAATAATTACAAGAATCTGGCTTTGCCTTATAATGAATCCTCGATGTAATATAATCTGATAAATATCTGAAGTGAGTTGGCGTGTGACACGTTTGGAGACATTTTGCGGTTGCATGTGAACAGGAGTCTCTGTCATAGACATGAATCCAAACTCCCTGATGGAGAACAACAGCACGCTTCAGTCCTTATACATCTATTGAACCATACTTCCTCATTACTCCTTCATTTCCTCTTTTTGTAACCACACCTGTGTCCCACTGCTGGTAGAGTCCCAGTTTTCACCGCTATCATATTCTCTGTGAGCCGAGACGAGCAGCAGAGAAGGCGGAGGAGAAGACTCGGCTAGGATTACACATGCTCCACCACGTAGCTCTCGTATGGATGACCCAGGAGTCTCTCTACCTCTGCTTTGGGCACCACCCAACACATGCCCGTGTGGCGTTTCCGCACCGTGTCTTTCAGCGTCTTGTCCTGCAAGGTGACCGGCATGTGCTCCGCTCCCCACCTCAGGACCCCCCGCGCTGACACCGCCTCGTTGGGAGCTCCATCCTGAGCATCCTGCAGCGCTGAGACTCTCATGTCAGCGTGCTGGAACTGGCCTGTTGGAGGATATAGGACAGAGGTGGTGGGAAGTTACTGAGTGCATTTATTCAACAATTTCAAGATTCAAGATTCAATCTGATGTGGAGCGCAACAGCTGTAATTAAAGTTTAAAAGTCTCTGCTTCAACTACTGTCACAAGCTGGATGAATGTTAAAGGAGGTTGAAAGCGTAATTAAGGAGCACTATTGGAGTGACTTTGATGGTTATTGGACTCAGGATTCATTCATTTGGATTCCNNNGGATGTGCTAGTGGAGTATGAAGCCCTCTGTATCGCGAATGTCAACGGGGTGGGGGGGGGTCTCAAACAAGCCTAGCTTGTTTAAAATTGTGGCGCAACTGTGGTCGGTTACCCTGGAAAGAAATCTCTGCGTGAGAAATACAAGGTGTGGCGTGTGAGCGTGTGAATGGAGTGAAATGCGTGTGTCTCACGCCAAATGCGTGAGACTTGAGAGCTCTGCTATAATCCAAGTCACACCTATCTATTTTTTCTGTATTGACAATATTCGTTAAAGGTCTCCTATTATACTTTTTTCATCAATATATTATAGGTCTCGGATATATACAAAACATGTCTCTGAAGTGTTTTGCTCGAAATACCAAACAGATCATGCATTGTAGCATCCCACAATCCCCTCTGTTTCAGCCCTGTTTCAAAAGAGTTGATTCTCTGTCT